ATAATAAAGGCTTGGATACAATGGCAAAAGATCTAAGTGATAAAGTCAAGGAGTGAATAATATGATAAGTAACTAATAAATTGATTAACAGTGTGATGAGTTCAACTCACATCACAGAAAAGGGAAACAAGCAAAGTTACGCTATGGAGAAGGAGGGAGGTTAAAGCCAAAGGTTACGTGATCAAATGGTGGAAACAGTAAAGACACCCATTTATCGTCTCAAGGAAAAACCGATAAATGTTTCTTTCTGAACACATAAATAGGGTTTCAGGTGTTTGATAGAAATTGCTTCAGCGTACTTGAGAAGAATTGGACTATTTTGTCTATTGATAATTTCAAAAGATTTCATGATGTCCACGTCATGACCTGTATCGAGGAGATGTCTGGTAATAGCACCATTGTAAGCGTTTGTTCCCTTGAAACGTAGGCTTTTTGGTGCATATTCAGAAAATAGGAGGTGTGTCCTTCTTTCTGTTCTTTCAGTGTAACTGCTCCAGCGGAAGCATATAAATTTGTATACACAGTTGGAGTTAACATGAGAATGGTATCTGTCGTCTTTTGTTTGCACCAAACAACATTATGTCCGACAGACGGGAACCAACTTAGATGCAGGAAAGACTCATGCTAGTGACGTACTCAATCTTCTGTTGACTACTGCTGCAATATTTTCACCTTCAAAATCGAGTTGAATGAAGACAGGCCTTTTTCCCACTGTGTTTGTTTGATGTTTGAGCCTCCACTTCTTCCATATTTGTTAATGAATCTCTGGGGGTAACTACTATTTTTTAACATCTTTTCGAGAATCATAAATTCTTCCTTTAATTTTTCTGCAGAGCATATTCTCCTAGCTCTATAGTACAGAGTCTTGACTAATGCTCATTTGTAGCTATTTGGAGAATAACTTTTTAAATGTAGGTAAACAGGTGTATTACAGATAAGTGAACCACTTCAAATAGATTTTTTGATTTAAACAAACTATTCTCTGCTTAACAGGTTTGGGTTCTTCAAGGGGAGTCCGATGCCTTCAGCTGCACGTAGAAGATGAACTCGTAAAACAAAATTAAGATCAGTTGTAATGAGATAAATAACTCTTTCACCCCCTAAGCCTTTTAAAATTATAATTGTCCAAATTATTTTACGCTGCTTCTCCGTTCAAAATTTCAATATCAGATTAATTTTCGAATCAAATCATTTGCAGGATAGCAACACGGTGTGTATGAATTTCAATTTTTCTCAGATCGATACCGTCAACAAGATCCTCATAAATTCAAAATATGATTATTAGTCCGCTGATCATTAGTGAATACTTCTGAAATAAATTTCTCTCAGCTTTAATGAAATTCCATGGGCATCCATCAAGTCAGAAATGAGGACAGACACTTACTGAAAAGCAGTGGTGCTACTTAACAAACTGACTGAATTTTTAGAATTCATCGTCCATTTCAACCGTGTTATCATACACCTGCCTATTCTAGTTATGATTTGCGCTTCTTTCATAGTTCCACACTAACAATTACAAATTAGGACAAACAGATATATGGTACTCCTTCCCTTTCAATGGCTCTCTTAATGATGTGGTCTTGGTAATGAAATGTTTTAGGAGGTCAGTACCATCCGCATAGGTGTGTAACATCTGAGTATAAATTATTTTTAAACAGAAGCACGGAAAAAATTATACAGTTGGATACAGTCAGAATACCTTGGCCAACATGAACAAAACTGAACTGTTAAAATTTCCTGTACGACGATAACCTACTGACTTTAATTATACAAGTAGTGAAATGAAGTTATTGGCTAGTGTGGGAATACGCTTATTTCCTTCAATGTAAACTTGCGTTCCACTTAGTATTTGTAAAGGGTTATATTTTAAATTCACAATAGTGAGTCCGTTGCATGGCATTTTGATAGGTTAGGTGGTAATCACCGTTGACTTTCAATAATCAGTGTGTGTATTTCAGTCAAGAAATAATTCTCTCCTGTGGATGTACTTATAAACTTAAGCTAAGTCAAAGCGGTTTCAAATAGTGACTACAACTTTAACCTGATAAACTTAGTTTATATTTGTATTGCAACAATCAACCTGTCTGAAATTCTTTGAAGCTGTGGAAGCAAATCCACTTTATGTATATGTGTACAAATGCATGGTATAAAAACAAGGACAGAAATTATAGTAGAATCTTTCAGTGTCACAAGGTAATATCTTTTATCTACAAAAAAAAGATAAGTACAGACTTCGTTTTAAAGCTTAAAATCGTGTTAGTTTATCATGAGCGAACTGATGAAATAAAATCTGAGCAACGTAACGAAATTTAAGTACCACATGATCTTCATGTAATTATGATTATCTGTGACTCTTTTTTTTCCTTCACGTTCCCCAGTGGAACATAGGGCTTCAAGCTAGCAGCTTGAAGTTTCTGTAGCAGTGTTTATTTTATAGGATGGGGTTGCTAGGCTCATGCCCCCATGTGACTCTCTAGATGGAATTAAAAATAGTCTCATCTACCAAGAAATTTAATGAACCACCAACGTTTCTAAAAATAGCTTTCAATATTCCTTGATTTATTTTTGTTTCAAACAAAATTGCAGATCAAATGAAGAGTTCATCGCACTATGAAATATCAAAATGCCAATCAATTATCTTTTTCAAGTACTTGTTATTTGAATTAGTAGGTTACCATTTTAAGTGATGTAAAGTTCGTAAAAAATTTGATTCCTACCACAAATGCACAAAAGCACAAATTACAGTTACAAAGTGAAATTGGAAATTAAATTAACTTTTAATTCACCTACTCATCTCCATACCTTTTTTATTTTTTATTAGTTAGTTTCTTCTAACTGCCAATTTTTTAGCTATGTGTATATCAATCACTCACCGTGAACAGTGGTATACAAATAAGTGTGTTATAATTAATTCTAGTCTATTCAAGAACACAAATATGCAACTCAAAAAGTTTGTTTCGTTGCAACATGATTTTTTTTCATTGAAATTTTTACCTTGATCAAATATTTGTTTTGTTTCGACTTTTAGAAAGTATATACATAATAATGCAAACCTGGTGGAGACTAATTATTCCTCTTTTGACCTGTGGAGTTACACAAGTCTAGTTTGAGGACATACTCTCACCAGTGACACTGAATAGAGGTGCTGCTATACGTCAGACATATAAGTAGGTCATTGTACCTCAGCTCAGTGCTTCAACATTCAACAGAATTGATCCGTAACTTGAAGATTATGAGATAACAGGGGCGCACTGTTGAAGACTAACTAGGACAAAATAACTGTTCTGTTCTCCATGGGGTTTTCAGTGATTCACCAAATGGTATTGGTTCGTGACGAAATCTACTTCTGAATAAATTTATTCCTTTATTTGTAAATACGTAATACATAATCACAACTGTGTACATTTTATGAGTAAAATTATCACTTATTCACTAATAATAATAATAATAATCATAGTCATATCTTGCATACCATTTATTCCTACTTTTGAGTATTATTCATTTCTAGTTTCTGAGGTCTCCAATAATCCATTTTCTCATTTCACTGTAATACTGTCTTGTGAAAAATAATCTCACTTCAGAATTCGATTACTGGTTAACTTGTCATACTTTGTAGTTCTGATGCATGATAAACAAGAAGCGACAGGTATGAAGTTATAAAAATGACTGAAGTTTTACTCATACTTGTTGTATACTTCATAAGCTTCATTGTCCTAGATATTTAGTGACGTTAAGTTAGTTGTTTCCTTACATATTACCTACCTCTTGCTTTAGCATGTCTTTTATTCTTTCACGTAGCGAATGTAAATAAGAAATTCAGACAATTTTTAATATATGTTCAATAACCTTTCCTTCAGAATAGACTTTTCATTCTTTTGGGTCTTTTCATAAATGCTTGGCCATTGTCATTAAGCAAACTTCAACTGATTGTAAAAATAATTATAAGATCTTGACATCAGGATTACATTACTAATCCATTATCTAAGTATTCTCTTTGCTTTTGAGAAATAAGTTTCGCTTTCAGTTTTTGTCAAATGTAGAGGACAAATAATAAACAAAGAAGACTTCATTACAAGATATTAGATAGTTGGAGGCAATAGTCAGGAAGCCTTGGACCTAGGTTTCGTGCTAGTTGGCACTCGTCAGCAAGGTGTATCTGGAACCTTGAAGGAATATCTCTGAGATTCGAACCCGCATCACCCAGTGCTGCAGTCAGACACGTTACCACTGAGCTATTCGGGCTCTCGATTGATCTCCTGTAGGACTGTAGTGGGTATTTTGATTGGACACTAGTAACTAGTGTGACGTGTCTAGTCCTTTCTTTGGTGCAGACTGAATTCTATCAGTCAGGTTTGCAATGTGGCCACCATTCTAGGTAGCTCGCCATCACTATCTCCAACTATCTAATATCATCAAATCAATGTGCACCGTGCTGGCGAGCTACCTAGAATGGTGGCCACATTGCAAAAGCCTGACTGATAGAATTCAGTCTGCACCAAAGAAAGGACTAGACACTTCACATTAGTTACCAGTGTCCAATGAGAAGACTTAATTTCTTCTGTATGTGACGGCCAAGTTTCATTGACTGACTCGTTGAAAACGACCGCTAAAAATTACTCTCTAGTGCATGAGTAAGTGTTTAAAAAAATGACAGTAAAAACAAAATTATTTATCACTTTATTTCGGTGGAAAATAAGAAGGAATACAGACAATTTTCAGCAATTATTTGTTTGTTAGTTTGTCATATCTTACATATTTTTTTAAAATAATACTAAATCATTATCTGTGGTTTTTACGTTAAGGAAAATAAATTCAAGATTTATTAAAGAGCAACTTAATGATGGTTACTTACTGAAAATAAATTTCAGAAATATCTCATATCGAATAGTAATTTCAAGGTTTAATGTTAAACAATCAAATTACAGAATAAAAACCATTTTACAACGGGAAAATTTGCTGACTTCTCTTCCAATGAAGAAGAACATGTAAATAAAGGATATTCATTCTGCCAACCCCTGTAAAACATATATTGTAAAAGCCAGATAAAGGTGGTTGACAGTTGCGAAAAATAGTTAGACAAAGCGCTATTTATATATACATATATATATGTTTAATCAAGTTAGGATGGAAAATTTTCACAACTGAGGGGTGTTGTAACTGCACATCTCAAATTTCTCAATGTAGGCAGGATATCTGAGACGATATATTCTAGCGCTCATCACTTAGGTGTCGTAACCTAGAGAAATATGTTGCTTAGTAATGCATATAGGACGATACCATTGTTAAATGATTCCCCTTATTCAGAAACTGAAGGCTTATATGAAGGGGATTTTAAGAGCTGTTTTTAACGGCTACCTGAGTCACTTGTTACCAGCTCATATTTCGTCCATGGGCCCAAGAATGAATTAATATACCATTATAGACGTCTAATTTATTTTAAACCTAGTGTATTAGATATTTCCTTGTTTATTGACGTTAACAATAATCAGACATCTGATAAATATAAGAGGTGACCTTCAAAACTATTCCCTACATGAAATATGAAAAGAGTTCATGTAACTTTTCATCATCCTTTAAATTATATTTTACGATGTCATTAAAGTCTAAATCTGTCTAGTGTGAGGGTTAATTATGATCACGCTCTTGGCCAGGCAGCTGTGCACTACCATTTGAATAAGTTTTTGCCTTTTAGGTAGCATTTTTTTCTAATAAGGACAAAACATCTTTAAAAAGTTTAAACAAGGCTTGTAGGTAACTTCTTAAGTCTCTTACAGGCAGTTTTTGACTGCCAAAAAGGTAACGTTACCCTTTTTTCTGTACAAATAGTCAAACGTATTTTTGGCTAATAATTACATACACTAGTATATAAGATATCCAGTATACTAAAACCTAGGTTTAGTAACCTATCCAACGATCAGTGACTAATGAATATCTGCCACATCTACTCGTGAGTAAATTCTTTTTATTTGACTCATTATTCCTCTTGTATTATTGTGGCCTAATATCTCTTAAACAGATACCTCTAGTTCATGATGTGGTTTTTACAAATCTTCACAATTATTCTATCTTCTCACTGAAAGGCTGAATTAATTTAAATGGCCCTTGCTTGAACCTATGCATAGTATTTGTTGTCCATTAATTTTGAAAATAGATGTATTTTTTCACTAACAATACCACATAAAAATAAATTTTCAGCTAAGGCATTTCTACTGAAACCACTGCTCCACACTTTTTTCTCGACCAGGCATGATCACTTCTTGGCCTGTTAATTTATACAAAGGACTGACAAATATAGCTTCCAGATGGTGTTGTTTAATTCTTTGAAGAAATGTAATTGTTCCTAACACAGTTTAAACCTGAATCAGATTGCTACTCTGACACTAAGGATTACTGGCTCCAGAGTTTTTAAAAAGTTAGCCTACACTCTAAAATTGTGAATTCTAGAAATCTGAAATGTATCTAATATCTACATTCTACATAGAACTCAGAGAGGATATGAGTCCCTTATAGATTTCAGATACGCCCTACTGACGAGGTTCAACAAGCACGAAACATAGGACTTAGGCTTCCTACCGATCGCCTCCAACCATCTAAAAGCATCAATTCACAGTGCACCAGGATGGCTAGCAACCTAGCATAGTAGACCTATTGAAAAGTTGCAGAATTCAGTTTACACCAAACAAAGACAGACTAAACGTGTGAGACTAGGTACTACCTAGTGTCCAATAAAAGTGTAGATCATTGCAGGATAGCAGCAAATGCTGTTGGTTATGTCTCTAAACTTACTGTGCATATGCTCGCATAACAATAAATTCTAATTTACCACAATGCTAAAGTCTTTCATTCCAGATATCTTACAGGAACCATTGTTTTATCTCCGTTATTAAAGCTATACACTTGTGCAACGTTTCATTAATTGTATATGTCATTCCATTTTACTTATATTAAACATCATATTCACGTAAGAAAACCACTGGCAGAAAAAGTAACCAATCTGCAGTTAAATTTCGTGACATCAAATTTCATATACTGAAGAAAATTTATTTTGTTTTTCCCTGATTATTGTACAGTTTTCACGTAAGCAAAGATTTTATCTTTACACTTCACTGGAAATGAAACTTGAGGAATTTAAATTACAAAGCTTCTAAAACAGGTGTGCTAGTGTGTACCACCACAACGATATACTCAGAGAAACATGAATTTCACTTAACCGACACATCAAAAATAGGATAGACCTCATCCAAATCTCAAGAAAGTGGAGACGCAGTCCACTCGATATAAAGTCCAGAAGGTGAACAAAAATTGGCTGAATCAATTTTCTAGTGCTAGCAGCCTGCAAGCTCAAGCTGAAAGCATTCAATGTGGTTGGTGACAGAGTACAATTCGAGTTCAACACTCAGAAATTGAAGGACAAATCTACAATAGACACACATACCGCAGTCATCACAGCGAAGTCCGACACATTACGAAGCATCACTGGGGAAACTAGAGTGCCAGTGTACTGCATATTTCTGAGGGTGATGTTCGAAGAGACGTGTACAACCGTCTTAGGAAGAAAGGAAAAGGGAGACAAAAGTTGGCTCTACAGAGATACTTAGAAGCTAATACGGGAGAGCTGGGTGGTGATAAATCAACAGATGGACCAATGCAATGATGGACAACAGAAGCTAAGGCTGAGTTCACTGTACAACGCACTGAATAAAGAAGTGAAGAAGAGTGCTAGTAAAGAGAAAAGGCAATTCTAAGTAACACTAGAGACCAAAGTAAATTAAGCTGCAGACCTCAGAACATTAAATCAGACAGCCATGTCTCAGTCCGGGAAGAGATCAACTCAGGTTAAACCAATAGAAGATGGTCAAGGAGACCTAATCACCAAAGAGGAGAAACGAAGAGACTGATGAGTGGATCACTTCGAGAGACTGACCTCAACCGACCATCCCCTGCAACGCATTCAGAAACACCAACCATATCATGCACAGAACTGTCTCCAAGTCGAAGCCAATCCTCCAACAAAAGCAGTATTCTTGAATGCAGTGGAGCTACTGGAACCCGAGAAGGCAGCGAGACCATTGGGAATTCCCCTCCACTCCAAAGCACCGAAAACTGATCCAGAGATTGCAACGGATGTACTCAATCGACTGTTGTAAATCGTTTGTAAGGAAGGACAGATACCTACCAATTGGGAGAAAGGCTACCTTGTCAAACCAGTAAACAATAGTGAATCAGGTCTCTGTAAGAACACGTGTGTAATCACGCGCTTGTCCACACCAAGCAAAATACTAAGTCGTGTCATCCTGGAGAGACTGGGAGATACACTGGATACAGAGCTCTGCTGGCCGAAACAAGCTGCATTCACGAGAACCAAATCATATGTGAATCAGATTGCAACTTTTCGCATTATCACCATCGAACACAGCATGGAATGCCAGTCAAACCTCTACCTCAACTTCATCGACTTCGGAAAGGCCTTCGACAGCATCAACCGTAATTGGCTTTTGGAAACCACTTCAACACTACGGATCGCAGTGTCTCAAATCTTTATCAACCTCATTCAACAGCCATAAGACAATACCACATATCAAGTGAACCACAGCAGAAAACTCAGCGAGTCGTTCGGAGTGAAGACAGGAGTAAGACAAGGCTGACTACTATCACTGGTGATATTCCTACTTGTGTTGGGCTGGATTGTGTGTGGCACATCGGAGGTGGGGAGCGACAAGAAAGGAATACGTTGGACCGATGAGGACACTAAAAGATCTGGATTTTGTGGATGACTTGTGCTTAGTGTCATACAGAATCGAAGATCTACGGGCGAAAACCAACAAGTTTACAGAAGAAGCAGCCAGTGAAGCATCAATCACTATCGACGGGAGAAATTTGAAAGAGGTCAACTCTCACTCATCTAGAAAGCATCGTTTCAACTACAGGCGACAGCACGGGTCAGGATGTCGAAACCAGAATCCGAAAGGCAAGAAAAGCATTCAACACTCTGAAATCACTTTGAAAATCCCCTGCAATCCTCAGAATAAAGAACGAAATTCGGATTTCAAACATCAATGTCAAGTCAGTTGGCACTTCTCTATATGGGTCAGAAAGCTGCGGCAACCAGAGAAGCATTTCTAATGGACTTCATACTTTGAAGAAAGCTGCCTTCGCTCTGTGCTGAAGATCAGATAGCCGGAAAGAATAAGCAACAAGAAACTACGGGAACGAACCAACGAAGAACCTATTGCTCAACAAATATGCAGAAGAAAATGGAGATAGATCAGACACCCTGAGGAGATGGTTGGGTGACATCGCGCTCTATGCCGTTGCTGGAGTGGAACTCGAATGGGAAACGACGAGTTGGGTGTCTGAGGGTGACATTGAGGAGGTCGTGTGAGGAGGTGATGAGAGACTCTGGGCAATTGTGGAGCCAGTTAGAAACGACTACTGTACATGACGGAAAAAAATTGAGATATGCAGCTGAAGCCGTATATTCCACTCGGAACTCAAGGGAATAACAAGCGTTGTAGCCTTCGAGATCACTATAATCTTATACCAATTAATGCCGAAATGTTTAAAACCATTTCATCAAGACTTCATTGTCAAAAAGATCTTGGTTTTCATTTTGCTTATACATTCACTTACGTTGTCCGTACGCGAAAGAGTGTTGACGAATTCTTCCATTGTAATACTTCCATTTCCGTCCACATCAAACTGACTCATAAATTTCTAAAATATGATCAAAATAAAGCAATTAAATTGAGGAGTATATACATAAATTGTTAGTGGATTGTAAAGTTTGTATGATTAGTTTCAAATTTCGAATTGAAAGGAAAAACGGCATAGAATTAATTATCATATCAAAAACATTAAGTTCCAGCCATTCTTTATTATAATGAAGTCACTTCTATTGTCAGATAATATTTTCCATCAGAGTTAGTCATTTTTTTAGGAAACTACTTCATCCTACCAACTGGCAAGCTAGTGAAACGTAGATCTTCCTATCAATACTTGAAATAGTTACTCATAAAATTCGTAAGAGAGTTAGCAGAAAATGAAACCCAGTTAACAACTGAAGTTTGAACTTAAGTCAGTAAGTATAAGAATAGCAGCTTGGAAGTGATTAGTATAAAGTATTTTAAGAACCATCACTCTGACAGATTCGGACTTATAGATAGTTTGATGAAGCAAATAAAACCCCAAAAGTAGTTTTCCAGTATTTCAGCTTTTACGATTACTATAACGCTGCTTACTTTGATGATAATACGTAAATTTATTGCATTTTATTACTTCTCAGGGCCTGTGCTGATGAGTGAAAAATGCACATTACTAACAGTTCACTTGATACCACCGCCGCTTATTCTGGATAGATACTGTTGTGCAAGATACCATGTGAATGGTTGCGGAATTTCTATACTAGAGAAGTTTTATGACTATTCGATACTTAAATTAGTAATCTGGCGTGTAAATACATCAGTGGAGTCTGCGAAACGCATAACTTAGAGATTTACTATAAATTCTCTGTTACATGAAACTACTAAAGAAACTGAAAGAGTCACTCACTGATAAATTTTAGTAGGGTATTAGAAAGACAAATATCACGAGTTGTTATGAATTCGTAGTTTCTTTACGATTGCTTTAAACAGACATGGTTCACAATAATGAAGAAAAATGTTTGACAACTAATCATGTACTCCTTGACATGCGCCTGTGGAGCTGATTACATTGAATACCATAAGCGTTTTTTCCAGAAACCAGTAACTGAATATTACCCGGATTGTTTAGTAAAAGGCGAGTATGGACTGATGTAGTCTTCCAATTGTGAACATCTGCAGTTAGGTTTAGCTAGCAACCATAGACAAAAACCTAAACTACATATTAAAAAAACGTTTTGTTAAGTCCCTTTCTTTACGTCGTTCATAGTGATGTTCTTTTTATTTTATTCTATTTTACCACTTTGTCATTCTAATTCACTTCATCCTTCTCTTCTTTGTTGTTATCATCATCACACTCCTAATTTTTTTAAAAAGCGACCTACTTCTAAAATCTTATTACCAATCTACTGATTTAATAATCTTTTAAAATTTTGTAACTCATCCACTTTAAATCTACTCCCTTATACACATCAAGTTAATTATCTTTATCACATATATATTCACTAGGCAATTTTTACTTTCACTTAATTCGTTTTTCCGCAATTTCAAAAATAATAATGACTTTATTCTGGATAAAATAATTACACAGTGTACAGAATTCTCAGCGTAAATTATTGCGAAATAGATATCACTGTATAGCATGGAAATAAAGTCCTTGAAAACAAATATTTCATTACTGAATAGAAAAACCTGCTTTTCCTTTCTGAATAAATGGGAATATTTCGTGATTTTAAAAAACTGCATATTAACAACCATCCGTATATAAGTAGGTCAAGTAGTCCATAGTAGGCAAAGATTGAAGTCTATTTTTTCCTGTACATCTACTTTGGGATACATTTGATTAATCTGAAGTGCTTCCATAACATTTATTGACACTGAACCTCACTGTTGTATGGCCTTTTGAAGACTCCCAATCCTGGGAACCCAGGAAGAATTAAAATGTGTGCCTAATTATGTATGTTATAAAATTGCCAAATGAGTTACAGAAGTTCTTATACCCGTGAGAAATTCCTTATCGAGAACCTCCGTAAGAATCCATTCATTCTTGTTAATAACCCCGACGCGATATGGTCAGTCGACATCGAATGTTTGTTCACTAATATTTCACCTCACGAGACTGTCAATTTCATTTGAGATTACATCAGAAGTACTACAAGTACATCTAACTCTCGAGTACTTTCACTTACTGTGGCTCTGATTAAAGGATAGAATTCCACAGATTATACTTCACATTATATGTACAAGTTCACCAGTAATTGCATAGATACATATGTGGATAAAACCAATAGAATATCCCAGTATCATCAGGAAGAACATGTTCGTAAATGATTATTAAGTCAAACAGAAAATCCAAGCGTACTCAATATGATTAGGAGTCCAGCATCGTCCACGTCAAAGCATTTTTTAATGTCCGGTCACAAAATCAATATTAATGACTGTCACTTAATTATCTCTTATGACTTTAATTCAAGGTTATTAAAGGTGCTGTAAGTACTTTGTTACAGCATACAACATCATTCAGTCTCCGCCCATCATTGGCCACTGAAGAAATGAAAACTGCAAATGGAGCAGATTTCAGAAATCTAAATGGTATTAAGTTGACATTATTAATGAAGTTCATTATATATATATATATATATATATATATATATATATTCAAACCCACAAACTCAATTAGAAACAAGCTTTGTTGGTTAAAGGATCCTGTAGAGCCTTTAAAACAAAACAATTTAGTTTATCTAATACCCTGCAATGATTTTCAGGTCAAATACATAGGTCAAACTAGTAGAACAGGGGCAGTCAGACTAGCTGAACATAAAAACTTAGCAAAATCTAGATTGGTTGACCCGAATAAGATAAGAAATCTGGAGAATAGTTCAGCTATAGCACTACATGCAGTCACACACAACCATGGGATGACAGTTTTAAAATCTAATATCACAGGGTATAGGGAGAGAATGATAACAGAAGCTTTGTTTATCGAATCAACTGCAAATACATGTAATAGGAATGATTCATCACCTGTCCCCGATATCTGGAAAATTCTACTACCCATACGACAAATAGGAGAGAACAAAGAAAACTATAAAACTCAAGTGTCAAAGTCGTGTGATCAGAATTGATATGATTATGAACAATAAATTTTGCTCGAAACGTCATCCAGTAAATAATACTGTTTCACTGTGTGATATACCTAATAAACAAACTAATATGGAATTACTTACTACCACAGTGCCCAAGTTTTACACATATATTTATATATATTCTGCTTTATATGCCTTATTTAAATAGGTTTTGTAATCATATTACATTCATTACAATTCTTCTTAAATTCGTCCTCTAATTTTAAGTTAATCATTCAACCTTTACCCTAAAAAGGAAATATTTGGTTTGGAAAACTTCAGTGTACCCTGTTTATATGGGTATTTAAGACATTTTTTTCACAAACTGACATGGGAATTTGATAATCAGGCACAAGGGAATGTTTATTTAGTTTTCTTAGATTTTACACGTCTAAAGGTCTTCAATTAGAATCTCAGTCCCACACCATACCGTACTGAAAATATTATGGTGAAAAATTCTTCTTAGGGATCTATTCATGTTTAATTATGTTCCAAAAACGCATTCATTGTGGCACTATAAATTATTCATTCATCAGTTAGTTTAATGCCCTTCTAACTATGCTTTCACGAGTAGTGGAGTGTATTATATTATTACTGTTCAGAATTTTTGTGACTCACATTTACATTTTTGTGCAGTATCATACACAGAAGACACAGTGAAAGGTTATTTTGGTGTCAGTGATGCGTATTTGTTTTCCATATGAATTTCAAAATGAAGTATTTAGGTGGGTGACAAGTAAATAATAATTAGTGATTTATTCCTTTTAATTGTTACTTTGAAAAGATATTCACCGAAAACCATTCAGATATTAATCGCAGTTTATAATATCCAATGATGTAAACCGTGAAAATACTCTACTGAATAAAACTTGAGGTTCTTTTTAATTTGGTTGATTGAGCTGCTAAGCTTTCTTCATCCTTTTAGAGAATATCTTCAGCTCAGCGGAATTAACCAAATAAAAATCATCCACCTGAACTACAAACCACGATTATTTTTTAACTTAAGGTTGTTGAAGTTCTTATCTCTAGTCGTATCATGAGTCATATTTCTTGAGTTCTTCTCACTTGCGGAAACTGTAATAATCTAAAGCGAATTATTCTACTAGGTCGAAAATCGTTGAAATACTCTTTTTACGTAAGAAAACATCTTATTTTTATTGGCGTGAAAAATCTGCAGCTTCGTATTACTTACTTGTGCCAAACCTTCAGGATAACCTTGATCTCTAAGCTCTTTTCTCATTTCTTCAAGTGTCACAACACCATCTTTATTTCTGTCCAGTTGCTTGAATCGTGCCTCCAATTCCGCCCTTTTCTTGCTCATCTTCCAACTGAAAATAACTGACATAAATTTAATAATGTTATCTGACTGATAAATGAACAGATGTAAACAGTAACGCATGGGCTAACCTGTTCAGCAATGTTTTAAAATATATCATTTTTCCGTTATTAAATTTCCTCATAGAAAAAAAGTGAAGATTTTGAATGTTTTTCATCAAAGACATTTCTGTAGCTTAAATGTGATCCCGAAATTAAAATACTTGTATCTTATTCAATAATGCTGTATGTTCCGTTTGTAAATTGCTGATTAAATTTTTTAACGTGAACAGTGGAAAAGTACTGAAATCCTGGGATGACATTTATTTACCCTGCATATTTAAAAACGCTCTTACTGATAATACTGTTACATGAAGTAAACACCATCCTTAAACAGTGAAAAATTTCATATTTTCGCAAAAATGTCTCAATAATTTATTAATAATGTATATTCGAAAACCAACGAGACATATAGCTAAAGTAAAAATAGATATCATCGAGTCACAGATTATCTCGATCTGATTACAAGTTGCCGTGAGTGGCTTCCAAGTACCAGTGTCAGTTAACATTACATGATACATTATGATGCTTTTAGTATTTCGCAATTAGTAAGAAAATGAATTTGTTAAATCGGTGAATATGTCACAAGTTGTTCATATTGAGAAAGTAAGCATAGAAGCGTAGAGATTAATATAAATCTGGAAAATTATAAATACCTTGGTTTCTTACAATTTAAACCAATAATGTGATATTTATTGTTAGTCTTTCTAAAAATGGTTGCATCAAAGTATCCGGAATAGATTCACTTGAAGGTACTTGGAATGAGAACGTTTGTTTTATAGGAGTTAAAGTGACTTCATACTCTCTGATTCCCATGTTTCTGCCTGCTGATATTCAGTTTTTAACGCAGATTTAAATAAATTTGACCACTGGGTGGCTAGGTATGGGTTGGACATGGCACCTCAACCCACTGATATAAATAAGGTCACTTGTAAGAAAATAGTACTATCTCTTCAGATATGTCGTAGCAATATTGTATACAAATTTCAAAATAAAATTTACAAACAAACCAATACGGTGGCAATTGGGTCACTAATATCTTCATTAGTAGCGAATATTTTTATGGGTACACGTAGAGCTCTTAGACTGTTTAATTCTGCTGCTAAGTTATGGTAGAAATACGTGGAGGATACTTTCACAGTGTTGAAATATGAATATATTCATAAGTCCTTCACATACATAAACTGAATTATAGATAGAATCCAATTCACAATCGAGTTAAAGCATTGTAAGGTCGAGTTAGCTATACTGGAGTATAAAGTAAGGTGAAAACAAGATGGTGGGGTAGTTACTAGGTTCTACACAAAACCACCATATCTTAACACACATAGCAAGGTTTTGATTCATTCCACCACAAATTGGTAAAGGTAGGGTTAGTTAATTATTTGTACAATCAGGCCAGAAACCTAACTACTAGGTCAAAAGGTTTAAATAACTAAATCAAAAAAGGGAAACGTTTCTAATAAGTAGCTACCCACCAGAGTTTATTGAAAAAAAATGTAAGCTCCTTAAGCATTATAAGAATACCAATGTGAAGACAATGCATGTAATAAGGAATTTAATGTCTCGATAGTACCACTGCACGAAAAAGAACATTAAGGGCCATATGTAAGATTCTCATTAACGTCGGAGTGAGGGTGTTATTTGAAACAACCAACTCACCCACCAAAATATTTATCAGCTTTAGGATCCAACAGATCCAGTAAGGAGAAGTGGTATAATCTGAAAACATGATGCGATGACGATGAGATCAAATTTATAGACGAAACCAGAATATCGGGGCAAGTGAGGCGAACTATGATGATTAACGCTGATAAAAAATAATTTGGAGTAACAGCCTGCCGTCGCGATCTATCCACCAGAATTTAATCACATATTACCCTGAGATAAAGTACAACTACTGAAAGGTAACATAGATAAGTCTTTAAATATTCCCATTAATGATATTAGAACAAGAGATACAAGCGAACAATAATGTTTTGAATTAGTTCTTTGGGCTTTGGTCTAATTTGGGACCTTTTCCCCGCTAAGTCAGTAGTAAGACTGGTAAAGAGGGAAGGTTCGGCATGAGGCTAGCAACCCCATTTTGTAAAAATAATGACCGCTGCTACAGAAACTTCACGCACTTAGCCTAAAGCCCTATGTTCCACTGGGAACGTAAAGGAATGAAAAAACCCGTTAGAAGTGAATTCGAAAATTCATATAACATTATGATTTCTCACATTCTTGTGTAACCGTTGGAGCAGTTCATCTAACCACTTTGACACTCCATGGTACGTAGAATTAGACATGTCTAGGACTAGGAGAAGAGGAAGTCATAGTTTATGTAATTTTGGCAGACTTCACAATCGCGAAGTATTACTTCCAGTAGGTTTAAGACGATTGCATGTGGCCTCTCAGATTACTCCACTTGTTCTCAGCTCCTTAGACGTGTTTCTTAGCTGCTTTTCAGCCTTTCCATCAGGATCTGTTGGGTTGTTAAGCTTTTGAAATTTTGTTTCATTTGTGAGAAGCGAATTCATTTTGAAAACGGGTAAAAAAAGCTTTTCCTTAAATTGCAATTTATTGGGGACATGTCTAGTGAAGTACTACATCTAAGATTTTGGAGAGCAATAAAACGGACTTGTACTGCCACCACCCTTTGTTTCTCATTTTCCATCTGACCTATTATGATAGCTCAGGCGGAAGACAAGCTGCCTAGCTGTGCCACTTCTATGTGCATCTGTAAATTCAGTCGCTCCCGTGGAGAAAGGTATATAGGGTGAACAACTTGACAGCTTAACAAACGTATTAATGAACATCTTCCTTCATAGCTCGGAAAAGGTCAAATAAAATCTATAAGAAGTTCCATCTTGACTCATTTGATTGACAGCGGTCACCAAGTAGACAAAAATTGTGCCTTCAAAGTTATCTATCGCATTCCATCGAGCCTTTCGAACGGAATGCGAATCCGTCTTTTACGCATAGCCGAAGCTATGGGAATTCAAGAGAACAGTCCTAGTCTTTGCATACAAAAGGAATTTGTTCTTCTTTTGCCTCTTCTTTGGCCTAGGTAAAGTCTAATTAAAACCCTCCCACCCTTTCTTATTTTCTATTTTCTTCATGTTTTAATGAAATTTACTTAATCTCCGATTATCTCTCCACTTCACCTTTAGTATTACGTAACTTTTAAGATTTGACCCAACTTATTTATTGAATTGTCTACATATAAATATATTACTTACTTCGTGATTCTTGTCACCACCAGCATAAACCTTATTATCATTATTCTGTTATCATCATAATCATCGTTATTTATGACGTTATTATTATTATTTGACCCACAAACTCAACATCATTGGTTGAAATTTTTATACATAAATCTATGTAAATTAGAGCAAAGCCCGAATAACTAATTCAAAACAATATTGTTAGCTTGTATCCCTTGTTCGAATTTAATTTATTAGAGAGAAAGAGGTTAATCACCGAATATTTCTCACTGAATAAACACCAAAATGTGCAAACAAAACCATTAGACACCTAAATGTCATCAGGTTACTGATATATTGTATCATTGTGTGCCATTTCAAATAAAGTTATCTAATATGAAATATAAAGCTCAGTAAATGCATTCACTGCAGTCATCATGGTTTTTTCCTCTTATAGCCAAATTGTTTTTATTTTTCTACCGGGTAAACATATTATCAGTAAACGAATAATCACACTGGAAATACTGGTATTATATATTTGAGAGATAAACTTTGATCAAAACATATATTTTTCTATCATTTGAACTCAGTGTTTCTGAAATGGCCCTGAGAATGGCAGTAAAAGCTATCAGTAGGATTAGCTGGGTGTCGTTAAACCGACTCAGTAATGCTGTTGTAGACAGACACAGGGAGTCATGCAAGAAATTAGTGAATATTATCTTGTGAAACCCTGGTCATCCTGTGTATACACAATTCTCCCATTGTATCTCATTATTTAGAACTAGAAGCAACTATAGAAGAATATATGCTCGGGCGACTAGGCACAAAATGCTCTACAATACTTTATTTGGTACACATTTTATGTGACAAGAAAAGTGTAAGGCAGAAGGCTACCAACTTACTGAAAAACACTGAATAAATGTCCCTCATTTTCCTTTTTTCCACTGTTGTATTGTTGTTTATATTTTCACTTAATTTAAATTTGTATTCAAATTATTACTGAATAATATTGTGAATGGAAATGCTCTGTTTTAATTAGTACTCACGTAATGAGAAAATTAGATGCAGTACTGTTCTACACGCTGAAAATTCCATATTTGTAGCAAAACATACTGTTTGGAATAAAGCTTTTATTATTATAAATAATTAATAAATAAGCTACGCTTATGTGATGTCTTAACTTCGTAAGCACAAATCATAACGTCGGTGTCGACTAGTAATGAAGGTCAGTAAAGTTGAGCTACACAAAATGTAACAATTTAAAACAGAAGTTAGTTTGTTAACTTCGTGAAGTTTAAAGTTTGTGATGAAGGAATGTCTGATTTAAAGTACTGACAAGGATTCTTATACATTTGTTCGATAAGTTCGTGATAGATGTGAGTTAGTGTAAATGACATTTCTTAAACGTAGGTGGTAGTGGGATTTTGCTTTTTTTTAGTTGTTTTACTAGGTCAATTATAAATCGTATAAATTTCTGCTAATCTTTCCACGGGAATTACTTTGTGAATTGAAAACTTCATTTGGTTAACTGACTTTCTTTGCAGTATTAAGAGCCTGGGAAAATCGTTTTTCAAATATATATGCTTCATCTTTTAGTGAGATAGCACTAGGATTATTCGCTATTACTGCTGCTGTCGTGTGTCCTTCTACAGTCTCTGTTATTTGAGAAAAGTATAGTAGAACAAAGAGGTGGTCTTTGAGGTACTTCATTCAACACTTTTCTGTGTAAATAAGTATTATTCATATCACAGTTTCGACAATTACATGGTTTAACTTCTTATGAGAAACATTTGATTGATTATAATAATCTGAATCAACAGAATATTATATGACTGTGATTAAAATGTGTCTGCTAGGTAAAAGTATAGCGTTTACATATTTCTAAAACTCTTCTCTGTTTTTTCGCAGTCCAAAATTTTTTATTATGATATCACATTTTCGTCAGGAATGAAGGTAATTTTATTATTGTTTAGAAAACTGCTGAAAGAAAAGAAGGATTGGGGTGACGTTTCAGCGCTATTCAGTGATGCCTACGAACCAGTAACGTTGGAATAAATTCCTAGTCTTCAGTTTCTGTGATAACTAAGATTCTACTGAACCAGTAAATTAAAAGATCCTGGTCTACATTACATAGCCATTATAATTTTACAATGTCACAATCCAGTCTTTTTGACAGGCAATATTCTCACTGGAACCAGAAAGCCAACCAATACTCCCTGAGTTTTAGTAGTTGTTTAGGTAATGCAAACACGAGAAATAGTCAGTATAAATTTAATCTTTTAGGTGTACTACTGAAGCTGTAAGAGTTTTATAGCAGGAAAAACAGTTAGTGTATTCTGCCCAGTGTACTCTTATAACATATGAATTGACAAAGTCACTTAAACAGCCACAGTGGTGCAAATGCACTTAAACAATTGCTGTGTGAAAGATAAAAATTTAAAATATTTTAATCTTGATAGATTAAAGAGATAGATTAAAGATTCGAGGGACAGGATGGCAATAGATTTATCAACGACATATTATTTTATTATTATCTATTATTCCTTTGGATTCCAAGTGGAACATAGGGCTTCAACACCACATCTGCACTTCATTTTGTTCTCTGCAATCCTCTTTAATTGGTCCATGATTGCCCATAGTCTCTCACCACATTCTCACTAAACATCTTGTATGTCACTATTGGACACCAAAATTGTCGTTTACCAATTCAAGTTCAAATCGATGGCTTGTCAT